AACCCCCCCACTACACACACAAAAACAAACACACACAGAGAAACAGTATGCCTACCTCTGTCTGGGGATACGTGGCCTCTTACCTAGCCTCCACCTCCGTTAGAAGATCCATGGCCTCTTAAGTAGCCCCCCACCTCCCGCAGGAGACCCATGGCTTCTTAAGTAGCCCCCCACCTCCCTCAGGAGACCCATGGCCTCTTATATAGCCCTCCCCCCAAAAAGTGGGTCCCTAGCATGTAACATAGTTTTGACCACTTCCCTAAGAAATGAAAGGAAAAGAAAAGAAAAGAACGGAATATAATAATAAAAGATTTGTATAGCGCCAGTATCCTAATGTTCAAAGGCGCTTTACAATAGCAGAGAAAAAAAGTATCAAAAATTAAACACTGAAATATGGAATGGAATGGAAAGGAATAGAAAGGAATAGAATATAAAAGAATAGATAATAGAAATGGCTACCTCATATAATTATGTTGCAAAATACTTGCGTTAGCCATGCTTGCAATGGCTGGTTATTCAATTACAAACTCAGGGGTTCGATATTTTTTAGCTTGCTTTGAATCACTGATTAGTGATTTATTTAAATTGGTATTTAAATTGGTAACTTATTGAGCTGTGCAAGGCTAAAGCGGCCTTCACACGGCAAACTTAAGTTGGCAAACCCGTGTTGGCAAACTTCAAAAAGTTGGCAAACTCGTTCCTTCACACGTCAAACTCGCGTCAAATCACAACACACGGTAAGTTTCAACATGGCCGACTTGGTGCAGTGCCACTCACGTAGAAAAATGGAACAGAGGAAGAGAAGAGAAGAAACAGAAAGCGAGAAAGGTTTGGACGAAACTCAGTTTGTCTGCGAGCTCCTCTATTTTCTCTTGTTTGTTTTTATTATCTTTGTAGACTACAAATGAAACGTCCTACACAGCCGGACAATTGTGAACTTCTTCGATAAATTTAAAAGTGGCCTTGCGTTCATTTTGACTTGCGTCCGCCATTTTGTGAAGTGTCACGCAAATGAATCATGTGAATAGAGCGCGTGTTTTGATTGGTTGACAGTTACCAACACATGTTTGCCAATCTTTTACACGTCAGATACGAGTTTACCAACACGAAAAAGTTGGTGAAAAAGTTGGCGCGAATAGAGACAATTTTCTGTTTCTCGCCAACAGTTTGCCAACGTGTTTGCCGACTGTTTTTGTGCCGTGACACACACCAACTTGAGTTTGCCAACACCAGTTTGCAATTTTAGTTTGCCGTGTAAAGGCCGCTTAAAGATACAATTTTCCAATAGCCCGTAATCGACATAACTTAATTCAATTTAAAGAAAACGTTCAAGTTTGAAAGACATGTTTCGACAATTTAATTCAGTTGAAAGTACAAGTTCGTGTCAAAGTATTTGTAATTGTACGTTTTCACTGCAGGTGGTTTGGAAAGGCACTACTCACGTGGGAGCGGCGCTCGTCAAAAAAGTGAACAGCAAAGGGTACACCGAAACTTACATAGTCGCACGCTACTCCCCACCTGGAAACTTTCGTGGACAGTTTGCAAACAACGTTATGCCAACAAAATGAGGTAATTAAAGTAAAGGCATTAGTAAGAATGCAACGGACCTAAATTCTGAAGGCATCCTAATTTGTCCAGGCTTCTTGGAGGATACGAATGTAAACATATAGAGCAAACCCAAAGTTGTACCTACTTTAATTATCTCACGCATCTGAGTGACCGAGCAATGACTTAGGCCTGTGTCGTAGGCTTATTAGCTCGAAACAAACGATTCGATTCAGAAACTAATAAAGTTCAGAATTGAAAAAGGGAAATTGTATCAGGTCTCTTTTCTCCAGATAATATATTATTGATAAGGAAAACTTACATAAAAGTGTTGATTTTATTGTGAACTTTTGTTTCAGCCGGCAGTACAGTCTAGCCTGAGTGTAGACATTAAAGGGTTCCGCCACATTTGTGAGGACTGTGATCCTTGATTCAGAGACGCTGAGGCATTTAACACATTGTAGTAGATTTAGACAAAAAGGTCAATAAAAGTAAACATGTGGGTAACCTGGCTAGTTTCGCTTGTACTCCCAGAAAGGTTGCGTGGGGGTGTGCAGCCCACTTCCAAAACCCTTACCCTATTTAGGAACAAAATCTGCGATTTTCCCTACCCTATTTATGACCTGGCCAAAAATTCGGTACCCTATTTATGACCGTTGCGACTGGCGCAGTTGCCCTTAAGTTACGAAGGGCTTTTGTTGACTTTCGTATTGATAATAATGAAAAAGTAGCTTCTTCTAACAAACATACCCAATTGAAGACTAGAGTGCTAAACCCATACCCTATTTAAGACCAAAATGGCCAAAAGCGATACCCTATTTATGACCAAAACGACTGAAAAACCCTACCCTTTGAAGCCGCACATACCTATGTAGCCCATATAAGGGAGTCCCCCCCCCCCCTGGGGCTGGCAAACATAAATAACGAAAAAGACACACCGACATTGTTATAACAGTTGCAAGACAGCAGAAACGATATTTGAAGACGCATATAAGGTGGCGGGGTAAAGAGAGTTTTTGTTCAACGAAGGAAGATACGATATGAAATGTTCAGACTTAAATTAGTATCTTACACTATGGCCGCGAACAACCCGAATGGAAGCAAAACTGGTGAGTCATGTTGTAGTCCAATAGCCCAATTTCGATATGCTAAAATTCAGCCTAAAACTATAGAGCTCAGCACGAGGCTCTGGGGAATAAACCCCACAAACTCTGTAGTTATTCCCCGGAGCCTCGTGCTAAGATCTATTGTTTTGGGCTGAATTTTAAAATATCGAGATTAATCTATTAAAGGCCGAAATGAGTTGAAAGAAGGGAATTGCTTATAACCAAAACACGCTGGCACCTTATTATTATCTTTTTTTCTTTTTCGTTTTTGTTTTTGTTTTGTGATTTTTGTTTTCGATATTTTTCATCCCGACAAAAAAATTTATATACTTTATGTTTATATAATTTATATACTTATAACTCTCGATCGCGACTTAAAACTCTCGATCGCAACTTATGACTCGCGATCGCGACTTATAACTCTAGATCGCGACTTATACCCCTCGATCGCGACTTATCACTCTCGATCGCGACTTATAACTCTAGATCGCGACTTATAACTCTCGATCGCGACTTATAACTCTCGATCGCGACTTATAACTCTCGATCGCGACTTATATCTCTCGATCGCGACTTATAACTCTCGATCGCGACTTATAACTCTCGATCGCGACTTATAACCCGCGATCGCGACTTATAATTCTCGATCGCGACTTATAACTCTCGATCCCGATTTATAACTCGCGATCGCGACTTATAACTCTCGATCGCGACTTATAACTTTCGATCGCGACTTACAACTCTAGATCGCGATTTATAACTCGCGATCGCGACTTATAACTCTCGATCGCGACTTATAACTCTAGATCGCGACTTATAACTCGCCATCGCGACTTATAACTCTCGATCGCGACTTATAACTCTCGATCGCGACTTATAACTCTCGATCGCGACTTATAACTCTCGACCGCGACTTCTAACTCTCGATCGCGACTTATAACTCCCGATCTCGACTCATAACTCTCGATCGCAACTTATAACTCGCGATCGCGACTTATAACTCTCGATCGCGACTTATAACTCTCGACCGCGACTTATAACTCGCGATCGCAACTTTTAACTCTCGATCGCAACTTATAACTCGCGATCGCGACTTATAACTCGCGATCGCGACTTATAACTTTCGATCGCGACTTATAACTCTCGATCGCGACTTATAACTCTCGATCGCGATTTATAACTCGCGATTGCGACTTATAACTCTCGATCGCGACTTATAACTCTCGATCGCGACTTATAACTCGCGATCGCGACTTATAACTCTCGATCGCGACTTATAACTCTCGATCGCGACTTATAACTCTCGATCGCGACTTATAACTCTAGATCGCGACTTATAACTCTCGATCGCAACTTATAATTCCCGATCGCGACTTATAACTCTCGATCGCAACTTATAACTCGCGATCGCGACTTATAACTCTCGATCGCGACTTATAACTCTCGATCGCCATTTATAACTCTCGATCGCGACTTATAACTCTCGACCGCGACTTATAACCCGCGATCGCAACTTTTAACTCTCGATTGCAACTTATAACTCGCGATCGCGACTTATAACTCGCGATCGCGACTTGTAACTGTCGATCGCCACTTATAACTGTCGATCGCGACTTATACCTCGCCATCGCGACTTATAACTCTCGATAGCGACTTATAACTCTCGCTCGCGACTTATAACTCTCGATCGTGACTTATAACTCTCGATCGCAACTTAGAACTCCCGATCGCGACTTATAACTCGCGAGCGCGACTTATAACTTTCGATCGCGACTTATAACTCTCGATCGCAACATATAACTCCCGATCGCGACTTATAACTCTCGATCGCGACTTATAACTCGCGATCGCGATTTATAACTCGCGATCGCGACTTATAAATCTCGATCGCGACTTATAACTCTCGATCGCAACTTAGAACTCCTGATCGCGACTTATAACTCGCGAGCGCGACTTATAACTTTCGATCGCGACTTATAACTCTCGATCGCAACATATAACTCCCGATCGCGACTTATAACTCTAGATCGCGACTTATAACTCGCCATCGCGACTTATAACTCCCGATCGCGACTTATAACTCTCGATCGCGACTTATAACTCGCGATCGCGACTTATAACTCGCGATCGCGACTTATAACAGTCGATCGCGACTTATAACTCTCGATCGCGACATAACTCGCGATCGTGATTTATAACTCGCGATCGCGACTTATAACTCACCATCGCGACCTATAACTTTCGATCGCGACTTATACCTCGCGATCGCGACTTATAACTCTCGATCGCAACTTATGACTCGCGATCGCGACTTATAACTCTCGATTGCGACTTATAACTCGCGATAGAGACTTATAACTCTCGATTGCGACTTATAACTCTCGATCGCGACTTATAACTCTCGATCGCGACGTATATCTCTCGATCGCGATTGATAACTCGCGATCGCGACTTATACCTCGCCATCGCGACTTATAACTCTCGATCGCGACTTATAACTCTCGATCGCGACTTATAACTCTCGCTCGCGACTTATAACTCTCGATCGCGACTTATAACTCTCGATCGCAACTTATAACTGAGTGTCGTAAAACCAGACCAAAGTAATCACTCTGGCCAATCACAAAGGACTTATACGAAACAGTGAACCAATCAAAACTCCAGGTTCGCGTCGTCTGGTTTTACTTCTGATTGGTTGAAAAAGTGGCGTGAGCTTTTTAGAGCCAATCGTATATCGTAGAGATACAAATCAAATCACATACGACTTTCGCTACTCAAGTGAAAACCTTTGCATCTGGCCTTAAATCCTTTTCTACAATAAAGGTATGGTGTAATTACAAAGTACAATTATGATAACCCCGGATATGGATTTAATGACGTCATTGGTCATTCCACTCAGGTGAGCTCATTTATTCATAAAAGGCAGTGGCGGGCAGAGGGGGTTACAGAAAGGTTGTTTGGATTGAGTAGAGTAGAAAAGAATCGTTTCGAGACGAAACGAATAGAATAGATAACAAATGAAAAGAAAAGGATGAAATAGAATAGAATGGAATGGAATGGAATGGAACAGAACAGGACAAAACAGAATACAATACAATACAATACAATTGAATGGAATGGAACGGAACGGAACAGAACAGAGCAGAATACAATAGAATAGGATAGAATGGAATGGAATGAAAAGGAATAGAATAGAATAGAATAGAACAGAATAGAATAGAATAGAATGCAATGGAATGGAATGGAACGGAATAGATCAGAACAGAACAGAATAGAATAAAATAAAATGGAATGGAATGGAATAGAATGGAACAGAATAGAACAGAACAAAATAGAATACAATGGAATGGAATAGAATAGAAAAGAGTACATAAACCTGCCTTAGCTATACTTGTAATTTTTCTGTTGCTAATAGCTGTTAATACAATTGAGCAAATATTCGGTTCGTTTAAAAAGGTCTATAAATGAGGCGAACGGGTCAATACAAAGTCTGTCAAACCGCCAAAAACAGCTATTACAAACCCGAGAGTTGAATATCGCTTAGCTTCTTGCTATTCAAGGTCTACCTTAACGTCAAACAGAGACCTTGTAGCGTTTCTAGTTGTTTGAGGTTTTTTTGAGTGCACTTAGCTTTCAAACAACAGTCCTAACGTTAGCCATGTTTCAGATGTTTGGGAATATTTACCGATCTTTTATTTTCTTTAATTTTTTTTCTCTAAATTTTGATCGTACTTCCAAATATTTTACTGGTGGTAGTCTGGTGAGTAAATTTGGATTAGTGTTCTTAGTAACATCGTAAATCTTCCAAGGTTACACAATAAGAAAGCTGAAACCGGCTGCAGTATTTGGATATGTAGACATATGCTTTCGAGCAAGACGTTCGTGTTACAGCTGTAGAAATCTTTGTCAAACCTATTGGTCGTCGTTAGAGAATCCAGATTCATTGGTCCCACTTGTTTAAGTCAGAGAACTTTGCTAACCAATTCCACACAATGTTACCTTACGCGCAAATTAACAAGCTACAACTTTTAAAAAAGCTAACAAAATTTTCAAGAATCTTGAATATAAATTTAGTCAAAACCAGTACTGTGGCAATGAAGGTTGTTTAAAATCTCTTATGTGCATGTTCCCGTCTGAAATTACATTTTTGTCAAAATTATGTTACGTGAAATGCCCTTGACAACTGCTTTTACTATCTGGCTACAAAGATGTTAGTAACTTAGAAGTAAGCTCCCTGATAAGTTTAATGTTCAGGTAAAATCTGTACGTTGCAACAACTGGATAAATACATAATTTGGTACATTTACAACAGCTACGATTCAATATATGTAAAATGATCGATTAAATTTGAATTCGTAAAAATGATATGCAACTATACATTTATTTCCTCGTTAATCCATATAAA